TTTATTTTTCACATGCAAGGCTCCTGTCCTAAGAATGGAAGAATTGGCAGAACCCATGGCCCTCAGAAATTATGCCTTCTGAAATTTGTGAGTAGTTTGTATATGAAATGCTTCCTCTATGTGAAAAAAAAAAGTGAGTTCCATCTCAAGATTTTTTTAAAACTAGGGCAGAGAAATTCTTGGTATCCCAAGGACCAGTGCTATATCTGTTGCAAGACCTTCCATGGCAGAACTATGTCAAGACAAACAGCTGGCCTCAGAGTAGACCTGTAATTCCAAGAGAATGAAGTGGATTTGCCTGGGCTACAGCCAACGTAGACAACTTAGCAAGACCTTGTCTTAAAATAAAAAGTGAAAAGGGGGATCTGGGGACACAGTGCAGGGCCCTAGATTCCTTGCCTAGCCACGAAGACATGCCTTTTAAGAACCTACAACAGGGCTGGAGAGATTGCTCAGTGGTTAAGAGCACTGACTGCTCTTCCACAGGTCCTGAGTTCAATTCCCAGCAACCGCATGGTGGCTCACAGCCATCTGAAATGAGGTCTGGTGCCCTCTTCTGGTATGCAAGTAGAACACTGTATACATAATAAATAATAAAATCTTTAAAAAAAAAAAAAAAGAACCTATAACATAGGTGGAAGGTGGCCCAAAAGTTACATATTGTTAATACATATGGCACTAACAAAGATCATTGTCTTGCTATAAATAGCCCAGCTTTGCAAAGTTCATTTTGAAGGACACATTCCCCTCCCAGCATTCCCAGCATTGCACTTCCCATTTTACATAGTTTACATGTTTCATTTCACGTGGTTTCTAAAAGGCTGCTGCCAAATGTTCCTAGTTGGAGGAAATGATCATTTTTCAGGAAGTCACATAGTCCCAATTCCATTTTGAGTCAAACTCTAAGGCAGAAGAAGGGGAAAATAGGAAAAGTTGACTTTATATAGTCTTGTGGGTTCTTCAGATACAGCTGGCAAGATTGGAGCCGGCTCTTTGCTGAGGAGCAGAAGTCTTTGCATCTCTTCTGAGAAGACTGACCTCAAATATTTATGAACTCAGTGTGTCTGAGGATGCCATTTCACCATAGTGGCCCTTCAACCCTCTGTGGATTGGTTGGTGACAGAGCATCAATCACACAACCACTTCTGGTCTGTGGCGTGGTGTCATGAAACACTGGCATAATTCCTTGCAATTAAAGAAAAAGCATACAGAGGTTTGTTAGAGTCCATGTGGACTCCGACGATTTTTGCCTTCCTTACCATGAATATCACATCGCATCCTGATGTCACCTGCCACCAAGTTTGCAAGAAGCTCTCCTCCAATACAGACCTGCTATTTATTCTTCCTCCAAAAATGAAGCCCCAAGCTCTGTCCTTAACTAAACTCCTTGTTGTTGACATCCTTGCCTGTACCACTAACCACCTGGTACTGTGGGTACCAGGCTATCATCTTGTGTGCTTTTTTAATCACTTAAGTACACCCAAAGACACGAACATGATGCTGAACCAGCTCGAAAGAACAATAGGTGCAAACTGTTATCACAGGGACTTTGTTTGCAAGCTTTCAAAGCAGCGACAAAGGCTCCACGTGAACAAAAGAAAATTTAAGGTAAAAATGAGTGCAATTTTCTGATAGCTATGGCATATATACATTTCTCTAACGCTACCCACTCCCTCCCATTCTCCCTCCCATCCGTTATCTATCTGCTGGAAACACTCGCACATTTCACCCAGCTTGGTGTACCCTTGGTTGTCTTCACAAGTAGCTGTGTGGATGGCAGGGATGTGGTCAGTGTTCAAGGGATATAGGGAGGGCCGCTCATAAAAATGCCATTGTGCAGCTCTACTTTGAAGTCCTTTTAGCATAACATTCCCAAAGCCCCGTTCTGAACAGGTAGTCCTTGGAGCAGAGTGTCACTGTTTGCCTTTCACACCCACCAACCAGCCCCTAATAGGATGTGTGCAACTCTGAGACACAGCATTTCAGTCCCTTGAGTACTTCAAGGCTGCCATGGGGAGTCGCAGCCCTCAAAGTTCCTTGGCCCATGTGTTGCCAGTGTGAAGCCATCTTGAAGGTACACATCTTGGGGTACAAGCTGTGATCCATAGCCCACGGCCATGTCTTCTAAGAGGACTGAGCCTGGAGGTTGATGGGAATTTCTCTGTGGTGGTGACAGACTTCGTTTGGGACATCAGAAATGGCTGCTTATCCCAGAATGCCCCTTGTTTCTGTTCTTTGCAAGGCACAGGATCCCTGGGTGGAGTTTAGTGAGAGTAGGACCAGAGTCGGTTTTCCAGTCTTTGTACCTGACAGGAGGGCAGCTACATATAGGCCAAAAGGCCAGGCCACAGAGAGAGGAGGCCTGAGGCTGGTGGAGTTGGGAAGTGTTACCCGCTCTGCCAGTGTCACATTGGCCTTGTTTTGGAGGGAGACCAGCCAAGGCTGTGCCAAGAAAGAAACTCTCCACTAGGCCTTTGAAGACGCCCACCATGCTGAACATATGAGAGCCACATTTGCACCCCACACTTAGCGGGGTGAGACTTCCTGTCCTGGCCTCCTTGTTAGGTTCCCAGTCCTAATTGATAGCTACCAGCAAAAGAATTTCAAGGTCGGAGGAAAGATACATAAATAAAACTACTCCCCATGTTGTGTTAAGCCATGCTAAGTAAAAGAAACAAGCGGCCATCATTTGGGGTCGAGTTATGTCTAATGGGTTTGACTATCAGGAATTGCTGGAGCTCCCATCAAACAAGGCTCCTGGGAATGTCCTATAAAGCTGATCACATTCCATTTAGTGCAAGGTCTCCGTAGGTCTGTGGCCTGAGAAATCCTATTTCCTTCCCGATTCTCAAGCACTTGGGTTTACCGATAGGAGAATATTGAGCTGACAGAAATAGAATAACCATAGCTAGGTTGGCAGGGGTGGGGGTGGTTTCATCTGAGAAGATGGAGTAAAACATGCCTACCTGCTTCTCTGTTGTGGTCTGTTCCAAGGGAGCAAGCTAAAGTGAGTTCACATTTCATGTTAGGATAAGTGAGTCCTCTGGAGGAGACAATAAGGTAGCTGCCAAACAGTTTAGTGACTTTCTGGAATTTAAATATTAAGTGAAAAGACAGGGTCACGGGGCAGCTGATCCCCAGCTTGTCTCTATTTCGTCTGCCCAAGGCTTTCATCTTGCTACATCCTCCTTTCTAACAGGGACTCCACAGAGAATCTCAGGGTCATGGCCTCTTGCCTCGTCAAGATGTGAAGCCCGCAGTTTGGCGGCCTGGGAGGAGAAGGGAGGTAGCTCCATGCGTTCCACATTTCCCACAAAACCCAAAAGCAGACTAAACAAAACCGGTGTGAACTCCTGTGACTTGATGCTGCGGCGATTCTATTTTTTAAACTGTAATCCGTTCGTTTGCATGCGTTCCCTGGATTTACAACTTTCTCCAGCTTTAGAGGGAAAGAGAATGTTTGAAACCTTTTTCAACTTGTAAGAAGCAGTGGGCTGTGGAGGAAAAAAAAAAAAACAGGCTAGAGGTTCCATGGCCGTGTACGTGTGTATGAACATTCACGGGAGGGCATGCGCAGCCAGCCAGCTCTGGAGGCTTCTCCCCTCCTGTTTGCTACTTTTTCAGAGAAGCAGCGTCACACGTGGTACCATTTAGGAGCTTCTTCACAGCTGAAGTGTTTCAGACACTAATGAATGGAAGTTTGGTCGTGTAGTACAGACAGGCTCGGAGGCGTGCTTTACTGAGTGGGACTCTGTAGTGACCTGGTAAGGGAAGAGAGGTATAAATTGTGTCAGTTAGCTACCCAGATGAAACGAAGCCGTGTGGAAAACCAAATCTATTAAACTATGAAGGCTGTATAAGCTGCTGTAAGCTGCCCGTTCTTAAAGGGGTTCCATTGGCTGCTGCAGTAAATGTTTACCTCTCACCCGGATCTTTTTCACATGCTGTCTTTGTAGGCAGCCAGCAGCGTTTGATAAAAATCAACCTCCCTCTAATGACACTTTTTATCAGAACTGTTTATTGTCTCCGCTTTACCACCCATGTCCTGAAAGGTATTCCAGGTTTGTTAAATAAGCAAAAGTTAAAAGGACTTTGTAGCTCACACTAGGTTGCAGGAACTCCAACAAATTCCAGAGCCATAAGGAATGAAGGGGAAAAAAAAATTGGGGTAGGTGGGAGGGGAGGAGGAATTGGATTTATATGGAGGCAAGGCCCTGAAAAAAAATCATATATATTAGGTTTTCTCTGCTTGGCTGGCCCACCATTAAATGTTTGCCTGATGTTGACGGATTTAGTGTTGAGACTGAGCAGTTATGTCAAACTTCGCTCCTCTCAAAATGGTCTTTAATAAATGGGAGGGTGAGGATATAGCTCTCAGATGCAGTGCACGGGGGGGGACTGCTCTTGCTCTCCCACTGACTCTGCAGAGGAGTCAGCCCTACACCAGTTCAACTGTAGTTTTGACCCAAACCTGTCCCTGCTTGCCTTAGAACCTTGGGTATGTTTCGTGAATGCATGCAGGGCTTTCCTGTCTATGATAACGAATCCTGTAAGCGCCATGATAGCACCAGCTACCATTCCAGGTATCTGGCAGGTGGGTTCACTTTCTTTCACATTGTTCTGAAGACTGGTTGTGCCAGTTTTTAAAACCAGTGAGTGGCATGCTGTAGGGAAAAAAATCTCTTCTTTCATAGTGAGCAAAGCTTCTGGGGATCCCACACTCTCCAGAGCACAAACAATTGAATTTGCTGACCAGCAACCATGGTGCCTTAAGTCAACAGTTGACTAAAGGCGGCCCTGGGAAAAGGCAACCCCTTGATTCCTCAATGAAGTGCAGATCAGGAGTCTGGGAAGAGAAGGCAGGGAGTGTCATGGCCATCATCTAGTTGAGCATACTGAGCTTTTGAATGGTGGAGGCCACCAGCTCTGTGGTGGTGAAGGATGGCGCCCAGGCCAGACTGAACAAGGCCTAACCCACCTGCCGTCTTGTGTTGTTGCAGGAGGAGACTGAAGAGACATCCTCGCAAGAGTCTGCCGAGGAGGACTAGGGGGCGCCAACGTTCAATTTCTACCTCAGCATCAGTTGGATCTTTCGAAGGGAGAAGACACTGCAGTGACCACTTATTCTCTAACTGCCACGGTCTTTCCACTTTCTGCGGGGTGGGGCAGGGGCGGGGCGGGCGAGGGGCGGGGGTGGGGCGGGAGAAATCACATAACCTTGAGAAGGACTATATTAATCACTTCCTTTGTAATCCCTTCACAGTCCCAGGTTTAGTGAAAAACTGCTGTAAGCACGGGGGACACAGTTTAACAATGCAACTTTTAACGACTGTTTTCTTTTTCCTTAACCTACTAATAGTTTGTGGATCTGATATGCAAGGGTGGGGGGGGCTGAGAAAACCTCTGTGTTAGACTTAATCAGTCACTACATCCAAACCCTAACAGGTCACCCTGGTGACCCGGGGGGCATTCGTATAAGAAAAGCATTGTGTGTGACTCTGTTCGGAACCCCAGATGCCACCCTACCCTGATCATAGTAAATCTTCTGCTTAGGACACCAAAGATAAGAACTAGATACTACTCTCCTTTGTGTATAATCTTGTAGACACTTACTTGATGATTTTTTTTAACTTTTTAATTCTAAACGAGACAAAATGCTGGTGTATGCTTTCATTCAGCTAGCAAACCAGAATTAGGTTATACTCATTTTTTCAAAAAGGGAAGTAAGCAAAAAATAAATGTTGACTCCTGTGTTTATGGGTTCACACACACACACACACACACACACACACACATCAGCAGGAGCGACACACCCACAAGCATTTATGCATTTATTCCCTTTTCAGGATATCTACACAGCCGAAAGCCACTTAGCAATAAGTGACACTTGTCAGTAAATGACACTTGTCAGCCTTGAAGCATCCTGGACAAGTGTAATTGTCCTCTTTTGGAATTTAATGGAAAGGTACAATACCTGATGAACTCACCCAAGTGATGGGACGGGAGGAGCAAAATATAAATTTCTTTTGCTATAAAGTACCATAGTTTTGAAAGGAAAAAAAGCTCTTGCTTGATGTCCACCTCTCCCTCTCCTCCCTCCCTTGCCTCTCTCTCTTCCTTCTATTCTCTCTTTGTCATTGTGAATCATTTTCCGTGAAAGACCGCAGTACCACTTACCTCAGATGAAGCCTGTGTGTTACTTCAAGTAATACATTTCTTTTTGACATAAGATGGTCGGCCGAGGTGCATTGTCTAGGTTCGGTCTGCCATCTCTGCATTCAAGCTGCACTTTTAGCCAGAGATGCAATAATTCCCCACTACTCAATACTACCTCTGAATGCTACCGTGAATTTACAGTCCTGCACTTGTTAACACGCTGCTAAACCGAGCACTGCAAGAGAGAAAAACACTCACTGGGCAGGCAATCCCACCATCCACAGTTCTCTGTCATTCTTGTCAAAGACACACCCTCACTCCATCTCAGCATGGCTATGCATGTTCCTGTGATTTTTTTTAATTGAAATTTTTGCAAATACTTGTCACAGCTTACCCCCTAGATCCCTACATTAATTTGAAACAGTTTTTTTTTAACCAAGTCGTTCCTAGGTTCTTATCTTCAGTGACACTACGTGGTATCACTCACGCATGCATGCACACACATGCAATTTGTCTGTAGTGTTCAAATATCACTCTCCAAGTCTGTACCTCAAATGAATTGTTGTAAGAAACAGACGGATTGACTTGCAAGGACCTACCTCCAGATCTCAAAAGAACAAACTTGTAGCCTACAACATTCTTAAATTTCCTTCCTCTGATGTTTTAAATAGATCAAACTCCACTTAGCCCTCACCGAAACTATTTTTTTTGTAAGAAGACACTTGATAGAAAAGAACACTTTTTTGCTTTTGCAAAAATGAATGAATAAATCAAGCCAACCTTCAAAGAAACTTGAAACTTTGTAGGGGAGCTACAAACAGCTCAGTTTGTGCCTAATGCAATCAGAAAATAAAATAGGTTTTTAAGATTAGTTGCCTATAAGAATGATGCTTGATGGATATTTTCCTGTATGTTATACAATGTGAGTTCTGAAAAATGTCTCAAGCAGATTTATTCTGAGTGCTTCTCGTGTAGAGTTTTTGTGCCTTTCTTTCCTAGCAAGGGCGTTGACTTTTCTCACGGTGTTATTCACTGGGCCAGGAGGTAGTCCCCATGATGGCTTGTGTCCATGTGACTCTTAATACTGAAGCCAAATGAAACAAACAAACAAACAAAACCATCTCTCTTCCAGCCACTTCAGGGAGGTCATTTCAAAGGCCACATAACCTTTCTGAGACCGGCAGGCTGCTCGCTGTTGTGAGTCACCCGAGGAGCCATGGAGAGAATTAAAACTCAACGTGACTGTCCACTGTGCATTAAATAAGCAAATAAACAGTGGCTCATAAAACTCAAATCCCCATCCCATATCTTTGGATGGGCCTTTTAGAAACCTCGCTGGCCAGCTCATAAAATCGGAAGCAGCTTCTCATATTGGCCAGGCTCGGCACACCGAGCGATGTCCATCTCTAATGAAGTTACTCTTTATTTCCTGTATGTTGTACAATCAAAACACACTACTACCTCTTACGTCCCAGTATACCTCATTTTTCATACTGAAAAAAAAAAGAAAAAGAAAAAAAAGGCTTGTGTCCAATGGAACAGTGAGAACATCATAAAATTTTTATATATATAGTTTATTTTTGTGGGAGATAAATTTTATAAGACTGTTTTTTACTGTTGTTGGTCACAGCTAAGTAAGACTGGACATCTGACTTCTCTGCCATTTCTGCACGTTAGGTATGTTTGCAGGAGAAACCTATCAAGATGATTGACTGCAGCCAACTCTCTCCCCGTTCGTTTGCGCGTCCTCTCTCTTTGTTCTCTGCTCCTCATGTAGAATCGCTGTCTGTGATTGTACTTTGATGGCTTGCTTGTGGGAATACTTCTCTAGTGGATTATAACTGACTTTCTGCACAATAAACATAACAGCCTCTGTGGTCCCCGTGTGTTCGGATTCCTATTCTTTGTCACAATTCCATTTAGTGAACAATAAAGTTTAGTCAAAACCGGGCAAGATGGGAGACAATCACAGTCCATCAGGTCTACCCTGGAACGTGTGACATGGGGTGTGGTTTAAAGTATATTTCTCTTACACCGCCACATGCTAGGACTTACCAGACCTTGAATTCTCTGACCTTGAATTCCACAGGAAGCCCGCTGAGAAGGAATGTAAAGGGAGAACAGGTTGTAGTTAAAAACCACTGTCTTAGGACTAGTCCCTACAATGTTTGTGTAAAGAAACAGACAGTGCAGGTCCAAGGAGATGGCTTGGTCAATAAAGTGTCTGTGTCTCAAGCATGAGGACCTGAGTTCAGATCCCCGGAAGCCACGTTAAAAAGCTGGACCGTTGGGCTGGAGAGATGGCTCAGCAGCTAAAAACACTGGCTGCTCTTGCAGAGGACCTGGATTCAGTTCCCAGAACCCACATGGTAGCTCACCACCATCTGTTAACTCCAAACTCATGCTAATACCATTTTTTGTCCTCCTCTGGCTCCAGGCATGCACATGGTACACATACATATATGCAGGAAAACACACACACACACACACACACACACACATTAAATTAACTTTCAAAAAGCCAAGCATAGTAATGCACACCTGAAAGCCAAGCCTGGGTGGGAAGTGGGGGCACAGAGACGGGTCAATCTCTGAAACTCATTGGCCAACCTGCCTGTCTGTCAGTGGGCTTCAGGTGCATTGAGAAACCCTATCTCAAGAAAATGCTTGAGGGGCTGGGGAGCTGGCTCAGAGGTGAATAGATCCAGCTGGCTGCTCTTTCAAAGGAGTTGGATTCAACTCCCAATCCCCCCACATGGCAACTCATAATAATCTCTAACTCCAGTTCCAAGGGGTCTGACGCCATTTTCTGGCCTCTTTGGTCACCAGGCATGCAAGGCGCGCACAGATATACACACGGACAAAACATTCATACACAGAAAATAACTTTTAACATTGAAGTAAAATAAGTCAATAATATGGTGGAGAGTAATAGAGGAAAGACCCCTGACGTGCACCTTGGGTTTCTACATGCATGCACGTGTGCACACATATTTTCATAAATACATGTGCACACATCACGCCCTTATACAATGCCATGTACACGCCAGACCCCACCCACCTGCACCAAATAGCTATAGTAGTAAAAGAAAAGGGGAGCTAGGAAGTCAATTGCATTTGAAGTATCTTTAGAGAAAGATACAGGGGTTTAGTCACTTAAACACAAAATAGAAGCAGCCAAGTGCCCAAAAATAGTTTTCTAAGTCTATTAAAACTCTTAGCAGAGTAGCAGAGACAGAATGATTTTACCACACTCAAGGTCACCTCTACATTCTAGAGTGAACGGTCACCTCTATCATTAGTTCAGCCCCAAAGAAGAAAGACTAACCAAGTGCATTTACCACAATCCATATTTTTGTTAGAAAAGCATACAACAAGCAGCTGGGTGTTCTTTTTTAATAAAATAAACAAAGGAAGAGCAAGTCATTGGCTTGAAACTAGAAAGAATTGAAGAATACATGTTATCCAGATTAGGATGAATGAATGATTAAGGTAAAATGTTTACATTCCAGAGGTGAGAGACTCACTAAATGATCTCTGAAATGTGTGTCTTTTAACTGATGCATTGTCTTCAAACAATGAAAACACTTTTTATGACAGTTATATTGACGAAACCTAAGTTCATATTTAAATTCAAGGGTTGTGCACTAAAGAAACCAGTCAACACAGTTAATTAACAGTGGAGTCCTTCTATGCACTTGATGCTGTTTGGGGCAATAAAGGTAAGTAAATTCTACCCTTGACCATGGTGTCAAATTACTGATGAAAGAGCAGATTCCAAGGAGATTGATAGTAATCTGAAGACTGGATACATCCCGCACTTTCTACCAGTACTAGGAACAAATTGTCCCCTAGCCCTCTCAGAAGAATGCGAGGTCCCCACCACAGAGGAATCCTGGTGCAGCAAAGACAATGACCTATAGCCAATTTACCATTCACCTAGCAGTATGTAGGTGTAGGGAAGAGGTGTAGTTTTCAATAGAGCCAAGGGTGCCAACTATTCAGTGAATTCAGGAGCGGTAGGTGGTTTAGAAGCACAAGAAAAATAAAAACACAATAACAACAAAAAAGTGAGTAGTGCTCCACCCAGGGTGTGCCTAGGATGCAAACCAGTTAAAACTTCATGAACCTGGGAGAAAAAGAAGCTTATGAGAAGAAACCAGGGCAAGCAGAGCAGTGCTTTTTAAGGCTCGTGCAGTGGCTACTTACGAAGTAGGACTAAGTGAGGTTATCCTTGAGCAATTACTGTTGAGATTTAGGAAGTCTGACCTTAAAGTGGGGAAGAAGCCCTTTTATCCAAGATCATTCTGCAATGTGGTATGCAGGTGGATAATGACCGATGGCAGAGGTGACACTTCCTGTCTCAGCTTAGCTGTAAATTTTGCAATCTATACTCCTCCTGAAGTAGGAGGGGCATGGCTGTACATGTAAGCCTCTGCACTCAAGACTCCCTCCATTCTAAGCGGGTCATGCCTGTGTTGCTCTGCCCTTACCCCAACATCCAGTTACGGCCTATGAGAAAATGTCTTATGTTGGTGAGCAATAGCTCTCTGCACGCAGTTGACAATAGTTGCAATCTTGCCCTACTCTATCTAGCCGGGCTCAACACTGTGATGAACTGAGCCTTGGCCTTACTGAAGCCAGCTCTCCAAGGGCCCCGGTTCATTCCCCCTACTTAACCAAGCTTGTGGCTGAGTCCATCAGTCCTCCTTTCTCCTCTTATCTGATCACCTATTTCCTCACTCAGACTTGGTCTGTCCCACGCCTTCATTTGTCTTAGATTAAACATGCATTCTTGGAAACATGAAGTAGCAACCCTCAAGAGCAGTGAACCACCAGACCCCAGACCATGAAGGCACCTACCTTGGCAGAAAACTGCCATGGGCAGAGAAGGGCAAATAGAAATCCAGTGTGACTGCTGGTTCTGAGAACCCCAGACGGATGGAAGGAAACAGGAGCCTTCTGCACTTCACGGCTCCTTCTGAACTACTTGAGATTTCCATTCCTGCCCAGCCAGGCTGCATCTCTGGGGTTGGCTGCTCTGTTGAGCTGATCAGTCAGGACTGAAGTTGAAGAGTTGTCATTAAGTGTCACTGTGCCAAGTCATGCTCTGAACAATGCATGTGGTTCAATCCCTTTCCAAAAAGGGGATGACTGAAGTCTAAGGACATTGGTCAAATCACTCCTTTATACCCTCTGATGCCAAATGGAGATGAGCTAAGCTGATGCAAGTGAAATGCTCCTAAGAGTAAGTATTAGTCAGTGTTTGTTGCCCTCCTGGTGCCTGTGTAAGCGTAGAGCTAGCCTTTTCCCTTTACTGTCTGTCATCATTGACCTGGGCATGTAAAGACATCCCAAGATCATGATCAGAGCATACAAGGTTTTCAAACACCATTCAGTTTGCACGATGCAAGGATGGAAGCCATTGCTTGTGCGCATTCTTTTCCCCCTGTGTGGTTTGTACCTTTGGATTTCATTAGAATTGGATGCTACAAGGAGTCACTCCTGAAAAACCAGCAGAACACCAATTACCTTCCCTACTATGACATCTCTCAGCGTCCCTGATATTGACGAGGCTTATTCTCTGTCATCCAGTATAATCGCTTCTCAGCTGACTGCTCCAGCCTCCTGATGGTGGCTTGGCTTGAGGTCCATCGTCACATCCCAGTATCAGGATTCTTGGTGGTTCCCTCTTCCAGGCTGGTATAATTTAACTCCTGTTAGCCCTTAAGATTCCAGCTTCCAGCTGTAGCCCACCCACCCACCGAATGCAGCTTAACTGGCTGCCCTTATGCAGCCAGGCTTTGACCTTTATGGGTTTGCTGTAGGCCACCTAATTGACCTGTCCCTCACCAAAATTAGCCTGCTAAGGGTCCTCTGCCCATCGGTAAGAAACAGTGGGATTCTTAGTGCAAACAGTGGAAAGGAAGAAAATGTGAATAAGAAGGCAAGTCTCCCTTTCTCTATTTTTTTCCTGACTGGTCAGCCTTGGAATGGGATTGGGGGCTACCTGCCTATCTTCACTGGCGTTACCACATACCTCTATGTGGCACCCTGGGCAAACTCTGCAATGTGAGTCTTTTCTTAGAGGCACATCTCCAATTTAAACCTATCCTCCTGGGGCTAAAATTCAAGTCTTCAAAGTTGGCTTCTTGGGGAATCAGTGAAAGAACACTCTGAAATACACACACACACACACACACACACACACATACACACAAGCATGCATGCAGGCACACACGCACCCACACACACAGGCACTACCCCCTAGCATTTCCAACTGGAAATTCTTGGTTGCGTTAAGGAGCACTGTAACCTGGCCCATTAGCCCATCCAGAAACCAACCCTATGCACGAGAATAAGGGCTCTGGCATACCCAGTGGGTGATCTACACTGCAACCAGCATGCTGGCTTCAAGATTCACAAGGGTGTCCAGAGCTCAGGGTCTTTTTCCTTCAAGTCCAGTTTAGCCCCCAAATCCATAGACTCCATAGAGTTATCCGTGGTCCTGTCTCTCAAATCTAAGCAGGCTGATATATGGCTTTTACTTATTACAAGAGATGCATTTAGCCATAAAGTCATTATGTTTCACTGACTCCCTGGACAATTCAATACTTCCATGAAAAAGAAAACCTGCAATTCAACAGCTAATGAAAATGTGCTGTCTGTTCCAATTCCCAAAACATATTCTACTGACTGTCTAACTAACGCAGTGCTTGCAGCTTCAAGACCTTTAAATATTTTTAATTTTTGCTTCATTTTCAACTTCAAGGTCACTACTATAAGCTCCCGTCAAATCTTGTTTGTTCTGTCTCCCTGGTCCCACATCTCTTCACAGCAGAGTCATCTTTTCCAGTCTAATGGTGCAGGTAAAATTTAGTCTTTCCTTTTTACAGTCCAGATGGTCCAACTGTTCTGATTTCTGTTTCATTTTTTTAGCCCTTTCTGACTATTATTCAAGGCTCCAAAGAAACAGGAAAGTGTGGCAACTTACCTCACTTATCTGTCAAGGCATGATAAGGGGGCATTTGACACAAGTCACTTTCTTCTTCCATGGGGCTTCAAGATTATATGGCTCATTCTCATTTTACCTAGGAAGTCGGAAGTCATGGCAGGAAGGAAGGAAGACACCTCAGGAAGGAATCACTCATTTCCTGGGTGAAAAAGGAAACATGCATGACTTTCTTACTATCTTTTCCCTTCAATTTCTGTATTTAGATCAATATTTGTAGCTCATTAGCCATTTTTAATGCAAATAATCCATTCTTTCATTTGCTGTGGTGTGTTCTTCACTGGTTTGCTATACAATAAATGTACGTGTTTATGGGTAACAATGTGACACTTCAATGTATGTACACAATAATGATCAGACCAAGTGGCTGGGGGATTTATCTCATCACACTACATCAATTTTGTGTGTTGAGACTATTCAAAGTCATCTTTCTTTTTTGGAAATATTCTAAATAACTTTTGTCAATCATAGTTACCCGACACTTGATATACACCTCCAGCCCAATTACAACTCAGTACTTAATTATCCCCTCTCCATCCTTTTGGAGCTCCCCACACACCTTTTCCAGACTCCATGCTCCACTCCCTTTGAGATTCAATTGTCACGTGCGGGTGTCTAGTTTCTTGGGAATTCCTTTCCACAGATGATCAGTGTGTGAAAACTAAAGTGGAACTATATCATAGTGTCAGTGACTTACACCAATTTGTTTGCTCATTCAGCAGATGTTTATTGAGCACCTGCTATATACCAGGCACTGAACCACATTCCAACAATAACAAAACCCAGTCTAACAGAACTGCCAGCTAACTGTCATTGAACACGATGACAAGCACGAAGGGAAAGAGGAGAGGCCCCACACTGTGTGGTGTCCAGGCCACTTAGAACACACAGTTGTTCTTCTGACCACACAGAACAGTCTCTGGGATGGTTACTTTTATGCCAGTCCAACGCAAACTAAGTCACTTTGGAAGAGGGAACCTCAGTTAAGAAAATGCCCCCACTAGATTGGCCTGTAGGGAAGCCTGTGGTGCAGTTTCTTGATTGATGATTGGTAGGGAAGGGCCCAGCTCATTTGTGGGTGGTTCCATCCTGGGCCTGGTGGTCCTGGGTTCTATAAAAAAGCAGGCTGAGCAAACCAAGGTAAGCAAGCTAGTAGCGGCTCCCCTCCATGGCCTCTGCATCAGCTCTTGCTCCCAGGTTCCTGCCCTGCTTGAGTTCCTGCCCTGATATCCTTTGATGATGGACTGTGTTGTGGAAGTAAAAATGGAATAGACCTTTTCCTTCCCAAAGTTGCTGTTGGTCATGGTGTTTTAATGTCAGCCGTGGAAACTCTAAGACAATCTCCAAAAAAGGATGATATTCAAACAACCAAACAGTGGGTACTACTGTTCAAGAAGGAACGACCCATTACCAAGACTGCAAGATTCTATGGTGTCACTCAGCATGCTGTTGACAGTGGTGTAAATAAACAGGTAAAAGTCTTGCCAGGAGGAGTAACACACATACTGGGCCTGTGAAACACTCAAAAAGCGGAGATCACATCCTGAACAGGTAAAGGAAAATCAGGAAAGAAAGAGAAAGACACCTGGGTTCAGCTGAAATCCCAGCCTCCTCCTGCGAGCATGTGTTGTGTGGGGAGGAGCTAGAACTATTGAACCATTCCCTGGGAATCCACAACTAACAGATGGAAAATATGAAAGACCTTGGACCATTTCAGAAACAGTCCAGCCTGTAGGTCCACAGAAGACGAAGCAGTAAACAAATGACAGCGGCTGTAGGTACCTGAAGTGACATGCCGGCATGGTGTTCCTGGAACTGAGGAAAGTGCGGAATGTCCATGTGGCACGGTTTTCTAGAAGACACATCTAGCTGAAGCATGAAAGATGGAATAGAGGTTAGACAGGCAAAGGGAAACAAGGGTCCCCAACATATCTGCACTATAAACACCAGATGCTCCCAGACAAAAAGAATTGTGCCAAAAGAATTCTTTTTAAACAAGTAGCATTATTTAAGTCACACTATCAGACTGGCTGAGGAATGAATGGCCATCGGGTGGACTCCTGTGAACCTTAACAACTGGTGTACGACCCTGTTGCCGTAGTACAGCCTGGACCAGGCTGCGTGGCAGAGATCAGAGCTGAGGTTCTAGGATGGTGGTTATCAGAAGCCGCGTCACCCACGACAATACACCCTTGGAGGTCAATACACTCCAGCTAAGGTGACCGCGAGAGAAACACAGAAAGTTGGAGGCAAGGCAAACAAATGATGCTGATGGATGTTTGCAGAAGAAGCCACGCAGTTTCCCTTTCACCCTCTGTACTTCCTACAGCAGCAAATCCTGCTGACAGGGGTGTCCGCAGTCCTGCAGAAAGAATCCTACTCAGTACTCTTTCTCCTTCCATTTTAGAGATGTGGGAGAGCATAACAAATTCGTATCTGCTATGAGGATTGACAAGCAGAAGGGTTATGTTACTGAATATTTATATCCAGAGCTTGAGGTTTTTCTTCTGCATAGGGTAAATCCAGATGTTTTCATCCCATGCAAACTGACAGCAAATATGTCATACGGTCTCCAATAATCCATACTCAGGGTTAGCACAATGTCCGGCATGTAATAAGTGCTCAATAAATGTGAGTTATTATTGTTGTTGATATGACATTATTTAAATGGTAAATACATACGAAATGTCTTCAGAGTCATGTACACTCTTTAAATCAACAATGCACACATCTGGTGAAAAAGCCAAATCATTTACAAAAATCCTATAATGAAAAACAACAGCCAGCGGCTCGCCTCTGCCCACACCCCAAACTCCCATGCTAGTCTTCAGATGCAACCATGCATATTAATCCCTTAGCTGCTCCTTCAAACACTGCCATTACAGTTCTAAACTGTAGACCTAACCTGTTATTGCTTAGTACATCTGAGGCATTATTGAGTGGCACCTTTCACAGCTGGCAATGACTCAATGCTCTTGCATCATTCACTCCACTAAGACTTTTGAACATGCACTGTGCCAGGCAGAAGAAACATGGAGCACAGCCTGAGAACCACTGCTCTAGGTCCACACGGAGAGGAAAGTTGTGACAGACCACACCTGCAAGAGGCTCGCCTTCCAGTGGGCAGCGAAGCGCAGGACATAGAACACACAGCAAGTCAAACGTGACACATTCAGTAAAAAATGGGGGTGGGGGGGGCAAAGAACATTCTAGATGGCCTGGGAGGGAAACCTTGTGTTGTTTCTTTAATCATTTCTTCACCTTTGCTGTCTCAGATCTGTCTTTCTGGATTCCCTGCTGGTCCCGGGTTGATCCTGATATTGAATCCTCTTGTGTGCTTGGATTTTCTTATGGGTGTGATTTGTTGTTGTTGTTGTTTTGATTTTGTTTGATTTTCAAGACAGGGTTTCTCTGTGTAGCCCTGGCTGTCCTGGAACTCACTCAGTAGACCAGGCTGGCCTTGAACTCAGAGAGCCACCTGCCCGTATTTCCCCAGGGTTGCAATTAAAGGTGTGTGCCACCACTGCCCAGCTTCTGTGTGTTTCCCTGTCTTAATTTTTTCATGCCATTCTCTGGGAGGCCCTCTTGATGTGTAATTGTTTTATAACTTTGTGGAACAAGCATGTGGAAGTCTTTTCCCTTAGAGGCTTCAGGACTTTTTAAAACTCACCTGAAACCACGGCTTGGGACACAATCCCAGATGTGCCATAAGCCTGAATAAATGGTTGTCAGTCAACTGAGTCATCTGATTTCCCCAAGTTTGGATCTAAGCCTATGTCTCATTACAATGTGGCCTGGAATTCTGTCTCCTTAGACTGTTCTGGACAAACCTGATTTTTTTGCCTTCCTCTTCATGCATGTGCAGGCAAAGAAGCCATTAGATCTGATAAATACATATTCTAGCAATATGTGGGCTCCAATTCCAATCTTTTTGTCTCTATGAATCTGTACATCTTATGGGTTGATCTTGATTCTAGGGGAGTCTAGAAAAGAAGACATTAATGCATTGGTTAATCTGCTATCAGTAATTATCCATGCATAGTTTTAAGAAGTGTCCGTTGATTATTATAACTTTTATCACATATACAAATATGTATGCACACTTCACATGTATTTCTCCAAAACGCTATATGTAACCTAGAAATCTGTGTTTACATATGTATCCATAAATCTCTGTGTGTGTGTGTGTGTGTGTGTGTGTGTGTGTTAGAGTTTATATGAAGTATCCTCCCATCCTAGAGGCTCACATTTTGAAGGCCTGGTGCTCTATGCAATGTTCAGAGCTGGAACATTGGAGAAGTCGTGGGATCATGAAGGTTTTGACTTAACTAACTGATTAACAAATGTATCATTCTATGGCATTACTGGGAGGTGGTAGAAACGAGTAGACAAGGCCTACTTGGAAGAAGCGAGACACTGGGGAATCAGAAGGAATGCTGTTTGATCAGGCCCCATTTCTCTGCTCCTGGCCGGAGAGAACTATATCACACCCTCCCACCTGATGCTCTGCCTCAATACAGACCCAGAAACCTGGGTGACAGTTGCAGACGCTGTATATTTGAAATCCTGAGCTAAGAGAAAGCATCTTCAAGATGTTTTTCTCAGACCATCCACATACGGATGGTGTGTGTGTGTGTGTGTGTGTGTGTGTGTGTGTGTGTGTGTGTATACATAATCTCTTTTCCATCACTCCGTTATTTTCAAAAGCTGGTTATTCTAGTTTGCATTTGTAATCCCAGCATTAAGGAGGCTGAAGCAGGAGGATTGCTGCCAGTTTGAGGCCAGCTTGGATTACACAGTAAACTCCAGGTCAGTTTATAGAAGGAGACCCTGCACCAAAACAATAAACTAGGGATAGAGAGATGACTCAGGGGTTAAGAGCACTGGCTTCTCTTCCAGAGGACCCAGATTCAATTCCCAGCAACCACATGGCAGCTCACAACTGCTTGTAACTCCAGTTCCAGGGGGCCCAACACCCTCACACAGACATCTATGCAGGCAAAACACCAATGAACAGAAAAATAAACACATCTTAAAAAAACAATAAACCAAAACATAAGGATAAAATTTATTTGCTAATGTTGTTCATGATATGTATGCATGTACACACCTGCCACAACACGCATGCAGAGGTCAGAGGGCACATCTGCAGGGCTAGTCCACTCCTTCTGTTTTTACATAAGTTCTAGGTGACCTGATTTTTGATCAAGTCACCAGGCTTGTTTGGCAAATACTTTTACCTGCTGAAACATCTTATGGTCTCCCACTCAGAAAGTAAATAAATATTATTAATGTTAAAGATATAAAATCTTACACATTATGCTTCAAACCACAAGGCACAGAACCTTGCTGGGAATTGCAAACAGGCTAGAGTCTAGATTTGCTTTCAGGACATGGAAATGATTGCAGATGGCGCTTAAAGAGAAACCAAGCTAGACCACAAAGAAGCGGCTAATCAAAGTTACAAAGCTTGGGCTGTCTTCTCTGACTTCAACGGACCATGGCTTCACTCCGGTGTACGTTTTAGAAAAGTCAGGGGCTCCGAGAGGAGGGATTTAGTCGACAGATATGAAGTCACTGGGTGACTGCCATGATCTAAGTGAATGTGACTGACTTGAGGTGAGGAAATGCAAACAGCAGGCAAAAAACCAAGTTGAGAGCTGACAGGAAGGAGCTGGCAAGTAGGGAGAGTAGTAGAGATGATTCTGGACCCAGACAATCTCGGGGTGCTGATCCATTCATCGAGGAGCAGCAGGCTACAAGTCAAAAGGTGGGGGAGCAGGGACCAGAAGTCAGTGGCCAATTACGCCTGTCCGTGTGAGCCACAGCCATCCATAGACCGGGGGCACACACAGAAGCAACCTCATTTGAGGGAACGGCCATACACTGATGGAGAGGCCCCAGCAGAGATGCGAGAGAAGAGGGGACTTGGGAACACAGTAAAAGTAGCTCAGAAAAGATACTGTGCTCCCACAACTTGGACCAGGGAGCAGAGATGTTTTCTCCCACTGAATAGGGTTATGGATGCTGTTTGGTTGTTGACCAGGCATCTTGGATTAAGGTCTCCAGTTACAGCTATGGATGGAAAACCCTTTGTTCCCCAAATTGAAAAATACAAATTCGACCCAAGCACACATAAAATACTGATTAAGACAGACCATATACCATGTGGCAAAGGAAAGTTCAGCATCTCTCCATACTTCCATATCATATAGATTACATTTTAAAAGCCATTTTACCCTCCAATTAGACACCAACAATAACAACCCAGAGAGGGAGAACCATTTTGATTCATATCTGAGTTAACTGCACCTACAAACAGTTCGTGAGTAGAAGAGGAAATCACAACCTATTTAAACCCAAACAACCGCAATTGCATGTTAGAAAGTACTGGGCCTATCTAAAGTGGTTCAAAGATACGTTTAAAGATTCAACTGTTTCTTTCAGTGGATATTGTAAATAAATACAATTTCCCTCAAGAGCCTGCATTAAGTCGCTGGAGGGGATCTTGATACCACAGTAAGATGCCATCTTCAGTTTATACACATTATTAGGTAAATAACCAGCCCTATTTGCCCAGAGTTTTCAAAATTCCTATCAATCAGGTAATAAAAATGCTGATTGCATTCACTCTACTCTTTTCCAACTCTTTTATATCTGCATTGATCAAAACCTTTGATGACTTCGTAGGTCTTTGGCTTTCTCATATGTCTTATGTATATATAATAAGCATAGCTGCGGGCAATGTAATTCTCTGTATGTAGATATAATGTCCCAAGTTGGACACAATGACTCCAAATTGAAAACATTTTTGAGAGAAGCAAAAAGAGAGTGAATAAGACCAAGGGCCTAGCAGTCAGATGGTAGTGAATTCATTCGGTCTCTGTT